CTGATTGGGAGATTGAGAGTTAAGTTTTGTCTAATAACAATGAAATCCTTTAAAAACCTTAAACTTCCTTTCACTGCATAGTTTTTATAGTAGCACATGTGAAATACTTCACTGAATTCAGCTGTTAGCACTTTAGTCCTTGTTTTCTGTATAGTCAGAATGATACTCTGGCCATGTTCTACACTAAGTCCCTCTCCAATCTACCCTACCAAACTTTAGTATGCAAATAACGTAACTGAAGTTGATACATTTACTGTGGTGTCTTCCACATATCAAGATTGGCAGGGGCCTGCTCTCCTGTGTATTCCAGGCACTCTTCTCATCCTTGTTGAGTACTAGAGTCAACAATGGAGTGTTCAGAGATCGATTTATTGCAGTTAAGCAGACATGATAAATTGACTGCTTATGGATCAATCACTTCAGTGTCCTTCCACTGCATAATGGAGATAAGGCTTTAGCGAAGTTATTTCTGAATATTCATTAAATCATTTATTTCTGTATCTTCCAAATAGGTGAATTAGGGTAAAATACATGTTAATTTCCTTATTCTTTAAGACACACAAGTAAAGCATTTTCAACAATCTGCAATAAATTTTTAACTTTCAGGGGCTTTCAGAGGTTAAATTCATGATTCTGCAGTAAAGCAAGACTAAGTAAAACTAAATCATCCCCGAAGGTTGTTTCTCCAGCCTGTTATTAGAAACTTCTAATGGTGGGGATTCTATAACCTCCCTTGCAAGCCTATGCTAGAGCTTTCCCTCTGTTGTTGGGAAAATCTTTTTAACTTTACCTAACCTGAATCTCTATTAGCCCATTATTTCTTGTTTTGTATTCAGTGGACATGGAGAATAAATAATTGCAGTCCTGTGTGTAACAGTTCTTAAGAAATTTGAAGTCTGAAACCTTTATCGGTGCCAAGCAGAAGGAGACTCTTTTCTCCTTTTCTTACATACAGCACTCCTCTTAATACATTGCAAAATATTAGCCTTTTTTTGCAAATGCCCCAACATTTTGCAAGTGTTGACTCTAGTACTTCCACCTACCCAGTTTTCCTCCCTATGTGCTTGTGCATTTATTTTTTTCTAAGCGAAGAACTTTTTGTCTTTATTGAATTTCATTATATTTATTTTGATAGTTTCCGTAATTTGTCATGGTTGTCTTGAATTCTAATCCTCTTTTCCAATGTGCTTCAGACCCATCCCACCTTGATGTCATCTGAAGATTTGCAACATATCTAGTGTTCAGGTCATTAATAAAAATATTGACTAGGGCTAGCCCCAAGACTGACCTCTGTAGAATCACAATAGATGTGTCCTTTAAGCTTGACAGTGACTGAGCTACTTTTTGAGTATGTTCTTTCAATGAGTTGTGCACCACATTTTAGTAATTTCATCTAGACCACGTTTCTCTAGTTTGCTTATAAGAATGTAATGTTGGGACTGCATTAAAGTCAAAATATATTGTCTGTTTCATTCCCCCATCCAGTAGTCCAGTAACCATTGTCAAAAACAGAAATTAGGTTGGTTTAGCATGATTATTTGTTGACAAATCCATATTTCCTATTTCTTACAATCCTGTTGTCTTCTATGTGCTTACAAATTATTAAACAATTTGTTCCAGTATCTTTCCAAATATCAAAGTAATTGTCCAGTAATTCTCTGGGTCCTCTTTATTCCATTTAAAAAATAGGTACTATGTTTTTCCTTCTCCAGTCTACAGTTTATGTGGGCTACCTGTTGAGAACCACAGTGGCTGTCAAAATCACCTACAGTCTCCTGTCATCAGTGCTTTCCTTCCTTCTGCCCAGAGACCCCTCCACAGAGCAGGGCAAGGAGGGGAGCTCTGGGCACTGAAACACCGTAGCATGGGCCCAGCTGGACTCTGGGACTCCAGTGCTGGATGAGGAGCAGAGTACTGGGCACGGAGCAAGCCAAGCCTAGCCAAGACCCTAGGCATTAAGTCCCACATAAAACTTGGCAATCCATTAACCCCTGGTTCCCAGGGGCTCCCCTCGCTACCCTGAGCCCCTTCCTCCTCCACAAACCTGTCCAAAGACCCACTTTCCTGCCCCCTGCGGGCAGGCAGTCTGATGCTGTCTCCCCCTCAGCCATCCATGTCAGAACAGAGTGGTAACTTTTTTTTAAACACGCAGCTGTGTGTTGATTGTGGGCTATGGTTTGAGAACCACTGCTGTACAAGAATGGAAGATAGGGTTTCTTGCTTCCACCATAGTGTTTGAAATGCCATTAGCAGGCCACTTTTATATGGTTAATGACATTATTAGTCTTTATGTTTTTAGCAGTTGCAAATGTTTTTAGTATAAGAAGTTGCAAGCTAACTTTGCTAATGGAATGCCTCTTCTGGGATTTCAGGAAATGTGCAGGCTGCTCCTCCCTCCCCCAAACAGCCGATGTGTTTCCTGAAACGCCAGGTCTGTGGCGCGCTGGCAACTTCTTTCCCCCAATTTTAGTAAGACCCATTATAGCATCTGGCATAGAGCACTGAGCAACAATATAGTGTTTCGCAAAGGTGTGCTCTGATGCCTATGTGGCAGTTCTGCATATATCTGTTAGAGAGAGACACTGTTCAGGATTGCTAGCAATGTATACATGGTACAGGTATAATGGATTTGAATGCCTGGTGGAGGTTTCTTGTTGTGCAATTGATAAAGTTGGATACAAGTAGAGATCTATTTAGAGCAGTGGTCACCAATCAGTCGATCCGGGGGACTCTCCTACTCAATTGCAACCTCTCAATGTAGTAGGGCTATCACTAAGGCAGGGTTCTACGTCCCTGCCTATCTCAGCTGCACACCGCTCCCAGAAGTGGCCAGCATAGCCACTTGGGGGCGGGGGGGGAAGGGGCAGTGGCAATGGGATTGGTATGTTGCTTCTGCCTGCAAGTACCATGCCCACAGCTCCCATTTTCTGGGAACAGAAAGATGATTTGTAGAAGTGCTGAGCATTCACAGTTGCCACTTGAATCAATGGGAGTTGTGCTTTGAAACATATAAAGTGCTAAATAATACTAAGTAACCTAGCAAACAAAACAGGTTGAAGTCATCTCAAATTGGGCATTCCAAATTAGTGGGCACTTTTGAACATTTCTCAGTGGCTCAACTCCATGTCTGAAAAATGAGAATAATAACTGACAGGGATGTTGAAAAGATACAATTTTTGTGAAGCATTCAGTTAATATAGAGATGAACAACAAAGAAAAGCTCATGGTGAAATTAATAATTTCATAATTTAATAATAAATTAAGCAGGGTTTGAATAGTGTGCAATAAACAAGGTCACATATTAAACAATGAGGATAAAAATACTGAATCATTAAGTGCATACCATCCATCCTGAGCACTGACTCAGGCCAGGGTCATATGGAAAAATAGTGTATAATCATGTGTACATGCATTATGAAACAATCTTTAATTACAAGGGAGGAATAAAAGATGTGAAGCAACCTTGATTCTGGCATTTCCTAATTTTGGAGTGATTGGCTTTACGGTCTTTAATGTTAGTTTAATAGGGTGGATGGACAGGTAGCTATACACTCGTTCTATATAAGAAAAACACTTATTTTATAATTGATAAGCCCACAAACTCAAAGTTAAACTGGGTTCTTTCTGTGTTGCGTATCATTATTACTTAATAAAGATTATGTTATGTAATTAACAATTTTGTTGAAGAGTTGAAAGCCAGAATGGAATACTCTCTTATTTAGGCTAACAGGAGCAAAAAGCAATATACTTTTTGATCATTGAAGTAAGCAGGTGTGACTGAATATTCATAGCCAACAGATCTACTTTGCAAGCATCACTTCTGCTAGTGTGTGTGTACACTTAAAGTGGCTTATTGACATGCCATCATCACCTATGTCTGCTGTACCCTCAACATCTGTAAAGAGGGAGGGAAGGAGTATTGGTTGGAAGGAAAAGTTGGCTAGCTGAGAACTGAGAGAGCGGGACAATGTAAAAGACTGGCAGTGGGAAAGAAATGGAAATTGGCTGAAAAGTTGAGTACAAGGGAAAAGAGTAAGAAACTTCCCTTTCCTACAGACTTCCGACATGCATATTTTCTGAGACTTTTACATGGTCTCTAATTCAAATATTTATACAGCCTGCTTAGCTTTTGTGATTAGAAATAATTGGTCTTTGATGGAATGACCTATGAGACCTATTTAGTTTTTCATGAATTTAGATAATTCTTGGTACAAGAGTGTTCCTCTTTTTATTTAGGAAGTATATGATTCTTTTTTCCTTAGTTTTGGTTTTTTAAATTAAGAAATAGTTTTCTGGTCAATATTGTACTACATATAATAAACACACATTATAAAATTCAGAAGTGTTAATAAATAGAACATAGAGCCTGACTTTGGCTTTACCCATTATCCCTACTTTGATCAGATACTTAACATGATATGTTTTTAAAAGACTTGTTATTCCCAAAAACATTTGAATAATTTCTTTCAAGTAGGGAATTTCTAAACTTATTGCTTTCCCATCTAGAAAGCAGCTTTTTGTGTAATTATATCCATAAATAGTGTTGGTCCATAAGGATATTATAGAGATCATATGCCTATGTCAAGCTGTTGTCTTATGGAAAGAAACAACCCCGTAAGGAAGCAATTTCACTGACTTGACAGACTCTCACAAGTAATATAGACTCAAGAAACTTGTGTTTATTTCACAAGAAGGAAATGACCTAACTGGAAATACAGATGGCCCAATTCATTTTCCCTACTGAACTGCTAGTGTTTCATGGCATTTCTAGATGCAGGAGGGGGGAAGATAATAGTATATAATGTCTACCAACTGTGCAGCAGAAGCAGCCTCTAAACAAAGTTTTTAGATGTTATGACAGTTAGTGATTTTTTTCTAACCAACTATACAGTATTTTCTAAATGATTTTTAGACTGCGGAGAAGTTCTTGGTAAACTTCCATGTACTGTAGCTCTCTATCATTTTGGTTTGCACTTAGTTATAGCCAAGAAAAGTAGAGAGGAAGCAGAGAACCTTCAGTGGTGTTTGACAAATAAAGGTTACTTGCTGGTTAGTGATTCCTTTTCACATGACCATAAAAAAATATTTGGTTTTGGGCTGTGCTTGAAACCCAACACCTTGTCACTCTATTTGTAGTAAGATGTAACCTATTTATTTATAGAATTAACAAATCAAAATAGAACATTCTGAACTTCATTCAAGACAAGCAATTGCTTCAGATGTGTGTAAACACATACTCTGAACAAGAAGCACTTTATTCGGAAGCACACAAAGTACAGTCCTGGGCTGTTTTTTTGTTTTTTTTTAAAGAACACAAAGAATTGAAAGTCTTTGGATTAACTAGTTTGGTGTCATTTAAAAAAAAATCTGAAATGTCAGGAGGTGAGGACTTCGGACAAGTTAAAAGGTACTGTAATTATCTGTATATCTTTTTTCATATATAATTATATATTTTGAAGTAGCATAGAAGTAAAAACCTAGAACTCCTAAATTCTGATCCCAGCTCTTACTCAAACCTGCTCTGCAATTATTGCAAGTCACTTCATCTTCCTTTGTGGTTTTTTAAATGGGCCTATGGATACTTAATTCCCAGCAGCGTTGGAAATTTAGTAAATGGTTTTAGATATATTTTATGTTGGAGAATGCTATATTAAGTATTAGTGTATTTTAATTTTTTTAAGTGAATGACGCAAAATAATTTGATTTGTAATAAGTTACTTCTCCTAGCTATAATCCTGGCAATAACATAAACCTCAAAATGTCAGAGACACAAATAACTTTTATGGAGTCTGTTCCTGACAGTTCCAGAATTCCTACTGCTACAATAGGGCACTGTGTTCCTGTGAGGTATGCTTGTGAAATACTTTCTTTCTATGATTTGGTGTTTGTTTAAATTAGATTGTAAAATTGTACGAGAGGGATTGAGAAACGTACTGATCTAAAATGTAGTTTTAGAAGTAACTAGTTTATTACATTTTCATCAGTGAGAAAAAGGGTAGTGACATTTCTGCAGAGGCCAAGTGTTCTGCAGAGAACTAGGACGTTGAAGATATTTTCCACTGGTCATATTCAGTCCATTCAAAATTTAAACACTAAAGATGGAATTTTCAAAAGCAGTCAGGCTGCGTCTAGACTGGCATGATTTTGCGCAAAAGCAACTGCTTTTGTGCAAAATCATGCCGCCTGTTTACACTGGCCATGAGTATTTGCACAAGAACACTGAATTTGTAATGTACAAAATCAGTGGTTCTTGCGCAAATACTCTGACGCTCCCGCTCAGGGATAAGCCCTCTTGCACAAGTATTCTTGCGCAAGAGGGCCAGTGTAGACAGCAACGTTAATTTCTTGTGCAAGAGAGTGTCTACGCTGGCACGGATGCTTTTGCGCAATAGCAAATCTTTTGCACAAAGGCACATGCCAGTATAGACACTCTCTTGCACAAATACTTTTAACGGAAAAACTTTTCTGTTAAAAGTATTTGTGCAAAGTCATGCAAGTCTAGACGCAGCCTACCATTTACTTCTGGAAGAAAAGTGTTAGGCCAAAGCTGAGCATTTTTAAAATCACGTCCCAGATTCGTCAACATTATATGGCCTGCCTTGTTTCTAATTGTATTTATATGTTCTGCCCCACTCATGACACTCTCTTATCTAGTTAAACTGTCATAGATAATGTTAAATAAAATTAGACTACAAGCAACTAACTTTTACTCCACAAAAGGACTGCATAGAGCTGCTTCCACAAGCCAGTAGCCATGACAACTTTCTAATCGATGCCTACACTTCATTACCTAGTATTTTATCCTCTGTTAGCAGTTTCAATAAGATCTTTCTAAAAAGTCATTAAAGTATTAACTCCTAAAAGATTCACCAGTGTTACTTGGGTCCTTCAGAGCAGGAGTCTTGGGGGGTGGAGGAATCAGGGCATAGGCTTGGAGTTTTAGGGGTTCAGAGCAGGGAGATGGGGACTGTGTGGAGGGTGCAGGAGTCAGAGTTGGGGATGAAGAGGGGCTCAGGATGTGGGGTGTGCAGGAATCAGGGAAGAAGATTAAAAGGGGCTCAGGACAGGGAGCTGGGGAGTGTGTGTGGGGAGGTTGCCGAGTCAGGGTTGGGGGGTGAGGAGATACTGAGAGAAGGGTGAATGCAGGAGTCTGGGCAGGCGGTTGAGATGTGTGGGGACTAGGGGAGGAGCAGGGACTCAGTGCAGGTGGTAAGGATAGCCAGTGGTTGATATGTGGGGATGGTTTAGGTCAGTTAGGGCCCAGCTTCCAACTGCTCCCCTGGACTTCCCCAGGGCATTGTGATGCCTAGCCGCTGGCTACTCTCTGGGGCTGGCTTGGGTTGGTAGGTGTTGTGCTGTCCAGCCTGGCCAGTGGCTGCTGCCCTTGCCCAGGCTAGTGCAGCAGGGGCTCTGTGAGGCTCTGAGTGGCAGGGATATGCTTGCTTGCTTGCTTCTGCCTTGTGGTCATTATGGAGTATAACTGTCTTTGCTATCACAGCCCTTCCTTTTCATTTGATGAGGAACAACTGCATTCTATGTGTTGTCCTGGAACAACCAAACCCTTAACCCTGGCTTTAAGTTATGACACGAGAAAGCTGCACACCAAATTTGGTGGTCCTTGCTCTTACCATTTAGGAGAGGTTCTTGAACAGACTCAGACAGATGGACAGACTGACAGAGAGATGCACAAATGCTCTCAAATGTATAGTAGATCAAAGAGAGTTCTAGCGGATGATTCGTAGCAAGAACTAATAAAAGATGGTAAAAATAAGTTGTAATTCCACTTGTGGACAGAGGTCAGAGGATCCAAAGAAAATTCCAACACGGAAAATGCATTCCCCCCACCCCATTACTCTTCTGCATGTAACCCAGAATTTGTGGTTTGATATGGTATAAATGAAAACTGAGAGGTGCTACTGATCGGGAATTCTTTGTATATTAGCAGCAAATAGGAAGGAATGTAAGCCAAAAGAGGGAAATAAAAGGTTTAAAATAATATATAGATAAACTAGATATATTTGATTGGACAGCGCCTCGTGAAAATTATCTTTGAGTACTTTGTTTCTGCTAGTTTCTACGTCAGAATCATTTTAGCAATTGTCTTTGAAAACTGATAGAGTACAGGGGCCCAGAAACCTGCAGAAGAAGAAACATAATATCTATCTTCAGAAGGGGAAGTAAAGAGAATCAGGGGACTTATAGTCCAGTTAGCTAACCTCCAGTTCTTGGAAAGACATTGGAACAAATTATTAAGCAATCAACTAGGGAATAACCGTCATGAGTTTGTCTAGAACAAATAAATCCAAACCAGTCTAAATTTCTTCTTTGACAAGATTACACACTTACTGGCTAGGGAGAAAGCAGGTATTAATTTCAATAAGACTTTTGATGCGATTGTGTATATGTTTAAACAGTTAACCGATGGGCCTGGGCTCATTGGTTAACCTTCACAGTTACACACAAGACCTTCCCCCTACACACTGCTGCCTCTATATCAGAGGTGGCAGCGCAGTAGAGAGCAGGCAGGAGCCAGTGCTCATGGGGAGACAGCTTTGAAGCAGGTTCCCTGCAAGCACTGGCTCCTGGGGAGCTGCCTGCTGCCCTCTGCACCGCTACCTCTGATATAGGGCAGGTGCCTATGCAGAGGCTGGTATGCGTGGGGAGTTGGGAAATTTCAGAGGTTACACATTTACCAACCCCCCCCCCCCCACATTTTAACATCCCTAAATCCCATGCAAAGAGCTGAAAAAGCCAAGCAATAACTAACATTCTGAGTTATTAAAGATATTTTAGGAATTAAATAACTTTGTTTGGCAATTGAAGACCTGAGTGTTCTCTGTTGAGGAGCAAATTCACAAAAGCAGGATAGATGCCCCACTCACCTTTCAGAATCATGATATTGGTGAGCAGTCTTGGACTAATGGTCTCCCAGGTGAAAAGTGTGGAAAACTGTTCAAGGAAGCAAAACTTCTATACATTTTGTAAATACAGATTTGTTTTAGTGTAATGTATCACAAATTTATGCTCCAGTTGAAAAATTCAACTTTAAGGCCATAGATTCTGTTTGGCAAAATGCAAAAATTCAACATATTAGAGCAAGTTGCATATTGTGGATGTATAAAAAACAAGTTTCTAATTATTTCAAAATGTTTATATTGTGATTTGGCAGAATTAGGACTTCAAATGTAAAACATTTGGCCAATGTCACATCATACGTTATTTTTTAAATTACCTCAAAACCAGGAGCCTTGTATTGTTGGCCATCCTCCTCTTTGGCAGTCCAGAGCGAGAAGATTGACTATGTAAGAGATACTGGCAGCATTTGGAACTGTTGGCCTAAAGCAACCTTTTATGCAAGGGCTGGCTCATCAAAATTTACTCCAAAAAGTAGGACTGTGTTGTTAGACAAATGGGATGGTAATGGAAACGCTCAAAACATTTTAACTCGAATGTATGTACAGGAAACCCCCACCTTACGATGGCCCGAGTTAAGACCCTTACCCCCCGCACTTACATTTTTGTAAATGTGGAAGGGGCCAAAAACCCCCAACTTACATTCTTGACCCACATTTATGATGGCGCCCAGCGTCCCTTTGTTTTGTTTTGCTCGAGCAAAAAATACCGAGTGTCCGGTATTTTTTGGGAGACCATCTTGCAACCCTACTCACGCAGGGTCCGGCAGCCCCTGTCTGCAGCAGCCTGGGCTGCCAGCAGTGAGCCTCAGCCTGTCATGGGCAGAAGCTGCTTTGCGGTAGCCTCCTCCACCCTGCTGCTGCGCAGTGGGGAGCAAGCAGCACTGCAGGGAAAAGCCAGTTCCCTCCAGCCCCAGCTCCTGTTTCCCCCACCCCTTGTTGCCTCTGATACCGAGGCAATAAAGGGGTAGAGGAGAGTAGTTGAGATTCAATTCGACTACTTGCTTACATTCCTAGTTAGCAGATGCCACTCTCTAGCTGCCCAGCTTTGAAGACAGTAGTGCAGAAGTAAGAATGGCATGGTGTGGTACTGCCACCATTATTTCTGTGCTAATGCTGGTGGGGTGTTATCTTAAGACCTAGCCTCCTAACCAACAGCTGCTGTTCTCCAGCCACACAGCTCTGAAGGCAATGGAGAAGAAAGGGTAGTAAAACTGCAGCCTTCCTAAAATAACCTTGTGATCCCTGTTGCAATTCCCTTTTGTGTCAGGACTCCCAACTTGAGAATTACTGGAGTCCCTTGTAAAATCAGCATAAAATAGCACACAAAAATCCAAAACAAATACTTTGGAAACTTGCTTTCATTTTAGATTCTGTAACTATTGCTTATAACCCTTGAGAAAAGTTCTTAGGCCTCTAAGTTATTTAGTTGTAATATTTGTTAAACTTTGTAAAGTTCCTATCTGATAAATTCTAAGTAACATTTAGAAAATCA